GTCGGCTGCACATGGCCGAGGGTGAGAAATTCCCGCGGCGGGCGCCCACTGGTTTCGGCGCCGAGATTCCTTCCGGGGGGGGAAGAGATGTGTTATTACAGCATACAGGACTTGCACTTCACTGACCAGAATCAATCAGATCGTACTTCACCAAATTCTCACTCACGGTCTGATCCCACAGCCCGGTATTGTATACTAGAGTGTCCTGGGTAAACCTGTTGACCCAAGGTGCCCTTGGAGAACAGAGACTGTGGCCGGATAGACCCCGGAGAACCTGTCGTGGTTCTGTGGCTGCGACGGAAGTTATGTGCGTTCGAGCAGATGGTACTAGATTTTTACCAGAGCTGTTGAACTCGAAAGGCGGAGATGAGGGTTTGTTCCCGAATGGTGGTTGATCGATGATCGTTCGGAGATAGCAGGAGTGGCCATTTTGAATGGCCGGGATAAGATAGATAAGGATGGCCAAATTACATGCCTGCTTCTGTCCTCCGCCGTGTGTAACGGCCGACGAAGACCTCACAGAGAAATCTTCTTACCGAAGAACAAATTACCTCTAACTCTGTGTTTCAAGAGTCTAAATCGGGGAAAAGTAAAGATATGTTGTTCATGGTGAATAAACCATATGGAATGGTCTCAGTCTATACTTCTTGGCTTTAGTATTAGCATTATTTAGTGCTAGGTAACTCCCTTTGGAAGACTTTATTACGATTAAACAGTGTACTGAATCTATTACTCTGTGATTAACACCCCGCGATACGACCAGAACTGACCATCCATTAAGTAACAGTCACCATGTTGCGAATATGTTCCACTATCATATGAAAGAGAACTCACTCCTACCCATTTGGCGCATTTCAATGATATGTTGCCTATTCACATGTTGTTGTCTCAACAGATTTTGTCCGACAGTACACTTTTGTTGACAAAAATCGTGGAGAGTACGTTGTTCCAGTTTTTGTTCATATTACCAGTATCTACCCCCATCGGTCCCGAAAGGGAACCCTTTTGTTGGCAAAATCACAATACTTGATAGAACTACACATATTTATCCTTATTAGTTGCTTGAGTCGACTTAAACTACCTGTTGGTAACGATGGCAGTGCTCGTAACGGTAGCGGTTTTGTTCAAATCCACATTCGTTTCTTTATTTCATTAGCATCCTATTATTTCTCCATCGCATCGTGTTCCAGAGTAATTTTCTGCCAGACTACAAACAGGCATTAATGACGGCAAGGTATCTGCGAATAAAAACAATAAGTGAAAACGTCATTGCATCCAATTTAAGGTATTTGAAATTACGGCAAAGAATTCACTTGTAGATATTAATCGAGACATTAAAACACTGACTGACGAGATTATTTGCTATTTCAAAGTTTATTTTGGATATTGCTGCACAAATAAATTTGTTGTTGAATGAAAATCAATCTCCCCTTCATTCGCTCACATCCGAGTAGAAATTCCCGGCGCACTTTCGCCCAGATTCCTTCGTGTCCTTACAGATAAGGACTGCACTTCACTGACAAGAAGTCAATCTAGATCGTACTTCACAAATTCTCACTCACGGTCTAGATCCCACAGCGTATTGGAAGTCTGTAAACTGTGACAATGCTGGAAACAGAACTGTGGCGTAGCTGGAAACTGTGGTGATAGTGATGTTCGAGATTGAGCAAGTGGCCATTTGAATGCGGATAATAAAAAATGCAACTATTTTCCGGCTACTTTCTTACAAATACTACTCGTACGGACTGAATTCTCTTACTCTGTGCATAACTGCGTACGACAGAACTGACATCATTAGTCAGCGAAAAAGCTTCAATGAAGAGACCACCCGCCATTAAATATGTGCTATTCACATGTTGCGTTATGGAACAGTAACTTTTTTGACGTAAAGAAGTGTATTGTGTATCTATTCGTAAAGACTTTTTGTTTAAATATTTATTTATTGCAGTGATATACGAGGGTATTTTAACTGTTCTTGATCAACTTGCGGGCTACTTTGTGAAAAAATTATTTTGTGTTGTTTTGTTAAGATTCACGTTTGCTCCAGCAGGTCTATAACTGAATAAAGATTTTTTTCACGTTTCATGATCATTTGAGTAGTAGAAGGGATCCGTTCTATATAGTCCTATGCCACATTTTCGACAAAAGTAAGATAATGCTTCTAACATACTCGCCATTTCGACTATAACATTTTGTGCGAGTGATGTGGTGCCGGTGTAACAAATGGTGCTGTACTAAGGAGACATTTCTTTACTCTGTGATGAGGAATGGCGGAATGAAATATTTCTCATCTTATATCTGATAATGAAAACGATTTGGCATAAAACTATCTAGAGCCAAATGGGTAACGCTATCAACTCTTGAGATTAATTCGGGTGTAATGTAAATTCTAGACTATAATGTGAATTCTTAAACTCGAGTACAATGTGAATTATCAATTCCTCCTTTCCCCACCCTCTTGTCTTGGACTGTACTACGTATCTTATTACAATTAAAGGAGAATGCAGCGCCTCTAGGAGGAGAAGTCAAGTCAGTGGCGTCCGCCTAGGGATGTATATCGCTTAATTGCATTGCGTCGGAGTGAGTAGCGACTGTATCGTGACGGATGGTCAGTGTTTCTTTTCTTGGTTCGTGTTTTGAACCACTGGAGAAGGACATTTGTTTTTTAGCTTCGCGCGTCGAAATGACCAGAGGAAAAATACGTATGTTGTTCTGTAATGCATGGATAGTTTTGCTGTCATTTTAGACCATGTGTTTTGTGGTTTTAGTAAAAATTTTATCATGTCTTCTTTGTAAGATTGAACTGTGAATTTTCATGCACATACAGTACTTTTGAGTTCAGGGTGAGGATTCGGGAGCTAGAAGGCCCTGTCGGGAATTTTGTAAACATGTAGAAATGTTGTCAATTTGCGAAATTTTATTTCAAACCGATGTGAATTTTGAGGCGTCAGGGGATTTCTTTGTGGAGAGCGTGGCTTGGGGCACACGGGTGGGAACAGAAGATAGGGGTGGGTTGGTGGTGGTGGTCGGGGATGGCGTGTGGCAGGTTGGGACAGGGGCTGGACTACGACTGGGCGGGCGGGACCCCGGGTAGTTGTGGGTGAGGTTGGTGTTGTGTGTTGGATTGGGTTTGGTGTGGTGGGGTGAGGTCGGATGCAGCTGTTCAGCGGTAGGGTAGGAGGTAAGACAGAAGATGCCGGTAGGAGAAAACGTCGGGAGCAGAGTGATGATGAAGTGGGGGCAGGGCATTGATGCGCTAGGACTGCACGAGCCGGCAGTGAATTTGGGAGCTAGGCAGGAGCAGGGACGAAGCGTGGCAGCGGGCGAGTGGGAGGAGAGAGGGAGGGGCAAAGGGGGAAGGAACTGGCTCGAGAGCGGGTGAAGTGGAAAGGTGGACAGTCAGGAATGGAACTAGGGCTTGCCGTGGAAATGGCGGAGTAACTTGAGGAGTGCGACGAAGTGACGGCGGGAGAAGATAGGGCGAACGGGTCAGAGAGAGGAACTACGTCTGGAGAGGCGGTGAGATGATTGGTGGGGCAATGCAGGAGATGAACTAGACTGCGGGAGGGGCGGGACGACCCCCCCCCCCACGGCGAGGAAGTGGCGCGCGGGCGCCCCCCGCAGCGCGCGCCGCGGAGGGATCGCACCAGGTTTAACCATTTTGATGACACGCGGGCGCCGCCCGAAGGAAGTGAGCATCAGTAGCCGCGGCCGACGGCGCTGCCGGCCGGCCGGCCCTGAAACAAACCCTGTTTACGCCCCGGCCCAATCTGCGGCCCATCTCCAGTGTGCGCCCGCCCCCGCCGTCGACGCCCGCGCCTGCCGCCGCCGTACCATACGCCGCGCCCGTTCCCCAGCGCCCGCGCCCGCCCCGCCGCCCGCCCCCCCCGCCCCGCCCCGCCCCGCCCCGCCCCGCCCCACCCCCCGCGTCGGCCGCTGGCTGCGAGTGCGATGAAACGCGATGCGGGCGCTGTTCCCAGAGCGGCGCCTCGGCTGCGGCCACATCCGCACCTGCAGCGGATTCTGCGCCCGCGCCGATGCTGCGCCAATCTCTTTCGCGCATCCACCCCTTCCCAGGGCGATTGGGGACAGCACCCGTCGTCCTGTTGTCGGGCGTCTTTCGTTCCTCTGGAGGCGTGCGTAGACTCAATTTTCTCCTATTTGTACGTCTTACTGTACTGCATGTGCCTTACTGTTTTTTATCACGTACCAAACGAGCATCATGGTATTAACTTCCCTCCTCCTTCTCCTTCTTCTTTCTTCTTCTTCTTTTGGCCTTTTCTCCGTGACTACGGGGTCGGCGCTCATTTTTATTAATTTTCGCACACTCCATTTTTATACAGACTTGCCGAATGCTCATTCTCACAGCAACCCCAGGGGGGCACACAAGCACATTACGCAAAGACAACACGCGCAATCACTGAACATACAAAAACATTCTCGAGGCGGCATTCGAACCCACAATCCTTCGGTTCAAGATTGTCATGACACTACTGCATTGGCATTCACGGTATTAATTGAGTTAGCAAAATCTATTACAATGATTTTAGATTTCGGTTAGGGAAGACTATAGTTTATAAGTATATAATTATGACAGCTTCTTTAAGAATTACTGATTGATGTACCTAGGGATTCCGAGATTCTCGGTCACGGTTCACGGATACAAGTATTATTGTCTACTTTATTCGTTGCCACAGTTAATGATTAACACACTGCTGCAAATATCATGAAGGATATAGAGTATAACATTATTGAATCATGTGGTGATGCCCCTGCATCTGCTGGAAGTAACACAGATGGAAGGGATTTCAGTTTTATATCTACCAATCACCGTACTCCATTTCACCTAAAATAGTTTCTTTAAACACAATCGAAAACTTACATTAATCTGTTTATATCATTAGCACATCAAACCATGTACATGATTTTATAAACAATACTTGCAAATGTATATTTATTAAAATTGATGGCTCTTTCTTACCTGCGCGAACATGTTGATTGGTTCATGAATGACTCACCAATAAGCACAGCCTCTGAAAATAATTAAATTCACTGTATTATTTGTTACATTATATTTAGCAACATTATTATTTTATAGTTGGAATTCTTCGAGAGAAAGGAAGGAAATTAATTTATAATTTATGAAGCATTTGGTAATAATCACATCCTGATCGCAACTCTTCAGACTCTATAATTATTTGGTAGTAGATTGAAACATCTACACTAATAATTGACTCACAGGAAATCGCCTTGTTCTTAGTTGCACAATTTCATCTAATGGATAAATTGCACATCATGTCAATTACATTCAACTGCAAAAGAATTGTTCTTTATTTTATTTTTGTATTCACAGCGTTTCTCCTGCATACGTATTTAACGGATGAATATGTTGGGATGACAGCATCAAGTATACTGTTTTAAAGATTGGATTTAAAAGGCAAATATTACTTTAATAGTCTTCGCGATGAGAGAACAATAAATGATTTTATTATTAATATTTCATTGGAACAAGTTTTGTGTTTAATAATAACATACTACAAAACGTTTATAAGCGAAATCCCATTCCTATTTCTGTAGACTAACTATTATAAATTGAAACAATTATTTACACAATTAGCATTTTGGTAATATAATGTGGAAACTGTAAGTGGTTTTTAGGAATTCATTTATTTAATTTCATGAGCCTTAAAAGCGAAGCAATTTCGGGATTCTCATCTTCGCTCTACCTTGACAGTGCATATATTGTACTCCTTAGGACTTTTTCCATCCGATCCCAGTTACCATCCGCACACAAATGGGATGTTCACCGAACCTCACACTAACAGTCTTCGCGGTAGTCGTATCTGGGTTCAACGGACCGTAAGGCCCTCAGAGACGCAACACACACGAAACAAACGAACGAACACCTTGCTCACCCCAGAAGTCGAATGGTCGTCTCATCGTTTTCAGGTGGCGTGTTTCAATGATTATGCCTTTCATTACAGCTCAATCTGGTACAAAGATAGCAAGCACTAATATATTAGTAATTTCACACGAGATATTGTGGCAATTTATACTGAAAAAGAAACAATGAACGCCCAATTATACAATCACTATTATATAAAAACATTTTGAAGCATTATACTGCATATAAATACGTTTTTTGAATATAACTATGCCTGATACATTATACTGCATATAAATACGTTTTTTAAATAAAACTATGACTGATATCAATGCATTTAACTTTAAGTGATTTTGGTTCATAAAATCACACTATCACTCCAAATTCACACTAAAATTTTGGTTCACACCTTTGGTCTCTTTATAATAATTAGCTTCCACCGACTATATTCCCCTCGCACGTTCAACGAAGTATACATGTGAAATTGGAGTCAAGTTGATACTCTTGGGGGACGATTGCATGACACGCACAGTATGCTCAACATCTGGAATCAGTTAACACCTCCCATCTCGCAACTCATAGAAGGGCGGTCGGGTAAAGACAAGACGCACAATCGGAAAGGGAAGCTTTCCTTGCAGCGCTTTTGCGTTATTTCTATTACATGACGCATCCGGATGTTAATAACATTATATGACATTTGATGTAAAATCGATATTATTGTCTTTTACGCAGTGGGATATGCTATTGTGAATTTGTGATCAAACAACCTATAAAAATGGTGGAGTAACATAGTGCTAATTTTTGTAATTATGTAATTTTTTGTTATTCATAGGAATTGCAAATTTCTGCAGTGCAGTCACCAATTTGTCTACATGTCCTACTGTTTTCTGTAAACAAATTGTAGTTCCATGAAATCGTTTTGGGGGAAATTCTGAGATCTTTAATTGGAAAAGTGAAATATTGGTTAGTATTATTTTATCCAGATCTCTGTATTATGTCATGAAGACACAATTTCACTTAAACTGTGCTGCAATTTTCTTCAAAATATGAAATATCGCATTTCATTATTTGCACTCCTCGTATATTCACTCAGAAAAAAAGTTTAACTTCCAACATCGTAAGTGGAGTTGGAGTCAACTTGTTTTTATGAAAAAAAAAGGAAATATTATATTGAACTGCTGTCTGATTAAGTGAACGGTGTGTGCAGGTATATAATCCACGTCACACTGAAAACCCGTTTGGATTATTTTTCACTAAATGTGTAAATGCAGCGTACACGAAACTGTTGACTGTGAACACGTATTTTTCTAGTGTCGGTTTACTTCTCTTTCGTATTCGTAGACGACTTAACCTCATCGGCTCTCCGAGCATCCGACACATCTCCGCGGCAGAGAGCGCAGCGGCGGGAGGGTGAAGGGTGGGGCGGCGCCCGGGAGCCGCTCGGAAGCGTCGCGACCCGCGCCTTTTCACCTGCACCGGCGGGGGGCGGGCGCGGGCGCGGGCCGGCCCAATTAAAGATTGCGTATCGGCTGCGTGCGCGAGCCGCCCTATAGCACGCATTGTGTCAGTAGCGCGACAGCGCGCCCAAATGACCCGCATTGCAATCCCCCTGTATCTAAATAACCTACGTGCCCGCCTAGCACACGCGGCCTGTAATCCGTAATATAATGCCCGGCAGCGCCTCCCGCCGCTGCATTGCCCCCCCCCCGCCCCCCCCCCGCCTCCCACATCCCGACCCGCCCGAGTCCACATCCCGACCCGCCGACAGCCCCGCGCTTCGCTGCACGCTTCCCACGCCCGCCACGCTCCGTCTCCTCCCGGAAAGTTTTGATGAGGATGTGTCCCGCGCGCCAACCGATAACATAATCAATCCAGTAAGTGTAGTACATGTTTTATCGCGGGGGGGGCGGGGTCATCTTCGTTCCTCCTCCCATGGATGGAGAGGACTGGCATCGATATTCTCGTCGGGTTGAGGGTTTACCGCAAACAGATATCTCCGTAAGGGGCGAGGACAGGACAAGGAAGAGGAAGGAAAGACCGCGCGCGGTCCATGAAGATACTGCTCCGCCACTTGCTTCGTATTGGTCAAGAGGAGGGAAAATATCCCGCGCCCTCGTTTGGTAAGATAGTAGAATTTTGGTACCTTCCAATGCTTCTATGCACTGGAATGTAATGTGAATTGTTTTCCAGATGGCTAACAACCGCAACGCCCAGAAGCTGCTGGTAGACCTTAGCTTGTAAAGAGCTGTTGTGCTAAGGTACATATATACATACACACACGAGTAACGAAATAATTGTAAATGGCAAACTGTAAGGAGAGAAGTCTGAAGTCAGCTTTTAGTTTCAGAAGGGTACTTTTTCAAGGATGGGCAAGTTTTTCCGTTTACACAATTTGTAAACAAACATAAAATATATTCTAGAAACCAGTAGTTACTTTCTAAATATATAAACTGAAAATAAACAAAAGAACAAAATAAAGGTAATACAACATATTTTCAGAACAACTTCTACATGCGGAGTGCATCAACGCCCTGCTATCTGTTAAATTTAACACAATTTCTATATTCATACTATTTACCATTTCTTTGCATTCAAATGCTAAAAAAACCGATACGTACCATTCTTTTTTTGGGTTAGGGTAAGTCATCAGGGTAGTTTGTTTTCTAACAAAGTTGAGAATGAAGATTCGTAAGTAGCAGCATCCAAATGTATCACCTGTGGCGAGAGATTTTAAGATGCTGGAAATGCTTCTTTCATTGATTGTTGTTTCCAAACACGTCTATGGATACTAGCTCCGTTTGTGTCGTAAATTTTTTATCGTGGGAGGTGATAGGGTTTCTTACCAGTTGTACGAACCGACGCCGAGCTACAAGTCGACTTTCGGGGAAAATCCATTCTTTGTATTTTCCCTTCTGCTAATGCCAGAGCGCCGCCCCCGCCGAGACAAGCTCTAAGCTCATCACTGGTCTCCCAACATGTGTTGTAGAGTATGCATGTAAGTATACGTGTGTACGTAAGGGGTGAGAATAGAGGAGAGAAGAGGAAGGAAAGATCGCGCGGGGACGTGGCCCGTTTATTAAGATATTGCTCCGGCATTCGCATGGTATTGATCAACGAAACCATGGAAAACCACATATCTGAACAGTTGGCAGAATACCACCTACCTATGAAGCTACCGAAAATCCGTCCCCGTTGTGTCTCGAACGCAGGATCCCTATCCAAGTGAGAGCCTCTGCAGAAACTGCGGCAATGCTGGCTCTCACCTAAACTCAGCTGATATATGAAATCGAGTATCCAAACCAACTGATATCGGAAATATAAATATATTTTTCTCCGAATTTATAAAATGTCCCTTATTCTGTTCTGGTTTTCACCCACTGATTTCACCGTACAAGCCTTCACAGCATTACACCTGAAAGGTATAGGTTTTCTTAAACATCTTTCACTCCACTTCACAACATTATATCGTAATAAATATTCACGTGTAATCAAGCGTATAGTATACATTACAAAATATCTTGGCAAATTATTAGGTACATTCTCTTAAGAATCAGAATTTCTGGACCAAACGAAATAGAAATTACGTAAAAATAAGTGTAAATGTTTTGAAAGAGAAAGACGCAAAGCTAACGTTCACCAGCTCATCTTTACTTCGTGTGTGGTAATGAAACCGCATTTCCGAGATGACTATCTTATTATGAGTATTATTCTAAGAATAATTCTTGAAAAGAGAAAAAAAATGTGAGAAGACCGTAGGGTCTACAAGTCAGGGCAATGTCTCTTTCGATTTGTGATTAATTCAAAATCTCAGACACAAATCTCGATTTAATTAAATTTGCACATTTTGTAAAAAAACAACTAGTATAAGCATGCGATCGAAACGATAATCGAGTGACTCACCTTGTGGTGCCGCACGTTTTCACTCATTGATGCTTGAGACCTACTGTTTTTTATTCATTGAATAAAAACTCCGAGATTCCATACATTGGAATTCATTTATTTGTAACAGAGTTTTCTCATAGGGTATTGTGTTTTCACATTTGTAGCTGCTTTGCTAAGAAAATTTTAGTGTGTAACTCGACAGTATAAATTACAATGCTGTCTTTGATGGCCAAATGCTGCATTTTGACATTGTGAAAGGTAAAGA